TGCTTACCCCCACCACCACCTTTCCCGGAAGTATATAGATTACCAGTTTATAATAATTAACTGAGCCTACAACCCAATTCTGTTTTACATATACAAAGTGCTTTTTGTACTGTTTTAATACACACTTGATTTTCTAAGAATATACAACGTACATTATATACAGAATGATTTACCTTTGTAAATCACGGGTTGTATTTTTCAGAACTTTACCAAGAATTCTTTACTTGAGGAAAATACGAGTATGATATATAAGTTGCCAAAGTATCACACCTATATTAGTCCATTTGTAGCTATCATATTCATGGTGTCTCCACACAGAAAGGTAAATAGCTGTTTTGTTTATATTCCATTTACATTCTAGTATAACTGTGCCAGAGCACTTATAAATATTGAGATAAATTTCAAAAATATAAATCAATTTCTTTTTATTTCTCCTTTATGCCACACTTAGGGCATTACATCGACTTTTTAAGAAATTATATGTATCAATAGGTTATATTATTTATGAATTTAATTGCACAAGAGGAAAGATGATGTTACAAAATATTTGTAATTAAAGAAGTTCACTGAATCTGATGAAACATTTAAAAGCCACTTAGGAAAAAAAATCAGTCTTTTCTACAGTCTTTGCCTTTGCTATTCCCTCTGCTGAACCCTCCCCTGTAGTCGCGCACACCGGCACTATCTGGCAAGGCCGGCTCCATCTCATCCTTCAGGTTTGAGCTCCCCTCATCTTTTTTCAGAGGCCAGCTCTCATCTCCAACGTCCTTTTATTCTAGCATAGTATACAGCTCATGTATTTCCTTCCTAGCGTTTTATGCAATCTACAATATTTTTAGATTTTGTACATTGTCTGTTTCCCCCTTTAGAATGGAAGCTCCAGGAAGGCAGAGGCTTGTCTATCTTGTTCACTACTGTACTCCCCACATAGTACAATGACTGAGGCACAAAGATGATCAATACAGGTTTGTTGAATAAATGGGCTCATGAATAAACATTAATAGATTGCAACAGAAAATGTCAATATGGAGATAAAGAGACAACAGAGAATAAGAGAAATAAATCATACAATTCCCAAATAAATGAGGAGGAGAATACATCATACAATCAAGACAGTAAATGTAAAATGACACTCAGAACCAATTCAAAAAGTTACAGCCAGCTGTATGCCATCTACAAAGGAAATACCTAAAGGAAAAGAATATGAGTAGAAAGTAAAAGACAGGCAAAAATATGCCAAATTTTTTTTAAAGGCAAGTTATATTAATATGCGATAAAGCTGGACGTCAAGTAAAATAATATTAACACATTAACTGCCCTAAGAGTGGTATTTAACTCACTCTAGTTTTGACCCCAGGGCCGCATGAAGCATATATAAAATCTTGATGATGTTCTTATTGTTACAATTAACGTGGACAA